ATCTCTGTGACAAGTTGGGCATGATTGATATCTATGCCCCAACTTGAGGGAGAGTGTTGACAGATGTATTGTATGTACTGTACACAGGTTTAGTGCCTGCAGGGGTATTTTTGTAATTTTGTAGACCTCTTGTGTTGTACGGCCAGTATAGTATAAATACAAATGCTTCACTCGCATGAAGCAGTGCTTTTGAGGCCTTAAGTCTGCAGCCTCTTCTCTTCTCCTTCTTCTTCTTCTTCCTTCCTTTCTTCTTCTTCTTCTTCTTCTTCTTTTGCTCAACAATACTCTATATTTAGTAGCAATTTAGTGATTCACCACTTGATACTCTCCAAATCCACTTCTTGCATAAGGCCACATTGAAATCTTTTATTCTTTTATTGTCAAGACCACCCCTTCTGGGGGAAGGCAGGCTTGATCCCAGTTAATTGTGTGAACTTTGTTCTCTCCTGAGTCTTGACAACCTTGACAAAAGAAATCCCTTTGGATCTTTTCAATCTTCTTAGCTATCTTCATTGGGAGAGGAAAGAGTGACATATAATATATTGGTAAACTTCAATTTCAGAAAAGCCCTTTATGATCACACACCACAGCTCACAATTACCCATGTTGTGTACAATCTATGCAATTTTGGCCAATTGGCCATTACTTCATACAACATACTTAAGTGACACCAATCATCTTCCTAGAACATAACCTATTCTCATTTCCCTACTTATTATGACAGTGGGACTTAATATAAAATCAAGACTAGTTGAGGATCATGTCTGCAACTCCAAAAGTGATCTCCAACTTGATTCTTCTTCAATAAGCCATCCCTAGGCTTCTTTTCAGGATTCTAGAATGGTTCACGTTTATCAAGCCATGAAGTTGCTGCAGTGTCCGATTTTGTCAATGTAAATTTTGTTTACTGTCTATTTTTCTAGATGATTATCATATTGCTTCTTTCTCTTATAATTTCTAGTGAGTTTCAACTGAAATACTTAAAATCTTTTGTTATGTTTGTGCCTTGAATTCTCTGTGGCAACCCGCTTCATGAATCCACTCCGAATTAATTTGAGAAAAACCCGAAGGCAAATTTTCGTAGTGGTTTGTGGTGGATGTGTAAGCCCGCAGCCCACCACAAATGGCGGTATGGACCTGATCCATATTCATCTTATAGGTCTGAACCGAATACGAAGAGTTACGTATTTTCGGGGGTTTTCTCTCTTGTATGCAGTCTCTTAGTCTTGTGAGAGACGTGTGAGACATTGTGTGTATTTGGGGCTTAGGGTTTTTCTGTGAGGGCACAACTCTGTATTTCTTCTCCGTTGCCAACTTCATAGTGGACTTTTGTTCCTCCTTCACCCGTGGACGTAAGCTATTAGCCGAACCACGTAAATCTGTGTGTGTTCTCTGCACCTGTTTCTCTTTATCTCTACTTTTACTTTCAGGTTAGGTGCCATTCAAATCTATTTTCTTGGGTTTTTCATAACATCTTTGGTACCTGGATGCTTATACATGGAAGCCATGATGTATCAAGTACTTAAATTGTAATGTAAATTTTGTATTCTACACCTTGTCTAGCCATGCCCTTGCTATATCTAGGTATCAAAATCATATATTAACTAGCTTCTTTGTTACAGCATTATGCTTACTAATTATCTTGTTTTCTATGTCCAGATTATCATGGTCATTTTCAATTCCCTCTTTTCATTTCTTATTGTGTTATTCTCTCTCTCATGAATAACAAAGAAAATTTTATTGGAAATAGGAAAAAAAAGATAACCCTTTAAATTTCTCTATTTCTTGTGCATATTCATCATGCTCTAATCATAGGAGATTGTGCACTTTTGGACTATATTCTTCATAGTCACATTTATCTAGCCCCTTGAATATTTGTCTACTTCTGTTATGTTCTTTGTGGGCTGAGAGTGTCTGATTTGTTCTGTTTTGCAGTAAAGATATTGCAAATTTTCATAGACCTAAGGCATTATGGTATCCCCATGACAATGAAGTTGCAGCAAAGGAACAAGGACCACTAGCTACAAAAGGGCCTATGAAAATTATATTGAAAACCTTGGGAGGGAAGGGGAGTAAACTCCATGTGGATGCAGAGGAGACCGTCTCTTCTGTTAAAGCAAAAGCCTCAAAAAAGCTAGGCTAGTATTCTCTCACATACTTGTTATTTGTTGATTGTTTTTTTCTGATTGCTACTTGTTTGGAATCCCAATTGGTCTCCAAATTTCCTTTTTACATTTCTTCTTTTGTTATTTGAGATTTTTTCTATATTAATAGCAACTTTGTAATTCTTCCTGCACAGATTTTAAACCATCAGAAAAAGTTAAAATATTTTATTCTGGAAAGGAGCTTGAAGATGCTAAATCTCTTGCCATGGAAAATGTTAGACCAAATTCAGTGCTGCATCTTGTGCGTACAAAAATACATTTGTGGCCAAGGGCACAAAAGATCCCTGGTGAAAGTAAGTCTTTGCGACCCCCGGGGGCATTTAAGAAGAAGTCGGATCTGTCTGTGAAAGATGGGCATGTCTCCCTGATGGAGTAAGTAATCTTTAAACATTCTTGTATATATGTCCCTTCATTTGTACATAAGAATTTGCTAGTATTGTAAATCCATGATATATAGAGGAGATAAATCTTCTTTCTCTATTTCCTTTCGTAAAAGTCTTGTGGTATCAGTGAAAACTGTTAGAGTTGGCTATACAGGGGTAGTTTGATCATTTCATTTTATATCAAGTGTGTGGTGTAATGTCTTTTATGTTCTGGTTTAAGTACTATGTCCCATACTTAATTAGGGGCATAAGTGTCTTTCTGTTCTTTAATCAGAAACATGTAAATAATACCTGGCCGACTAGAGAAAGGATCCTTCTCTAGTTCAAACCAGTTCTCTCCTTCTTCTCTCTCTCTCTCTCTCTCTCTCTCTTCTGCTATTATTCTCTGCTCTAGGGTTGAAACCAGTACACATCAGTTCTGTAACATGGTATCAGAGCCACTGTAATCAGTTCAGGTCAACCCAGAATTTTCTGGATTGCCCTTTGCCCTAGATCTCTGCAGGAATCTCATTGGTTACTTGGAGATTCACAGAAAGGTTGAAAATGAGTTGTTTTTTTTCCTTTTTGGAGGTTTTCATGCCTCCAGTTGGTTGTGTAGTGTTCGCTTCATGTGGTTTGTAGAAACCCTTTAATCGATGGATTGAAGAGGACTGATTTGTGGTGAAGTGGGTTATATGGGTAATACAGTGTGAAACAATTAATGATCAGTTACAGACCTAGTGTTATGTGTATTTGATGCATTCAGGTGTTTTTGTGGTGCTGAAAGAGTAGGACTGTAGTGACAATTAGGGCTTAAAATTGTGACAACATATGTTTTCAGTAATAACCAACCATTAGTGTGTAGTGTGGTGGCTAGCAAGTGAGGTGGTGTGAAGTACTAGTAAGTTTGTTTTTTTGGCAGCTATGGGAGACGGCAATGAACACAAATCTAGTGTTATGATTCCCCTTGATTACCTTGGTGTGCAGATGATCTCTAAACTGAATAGTGAGAATTATGTGCCTTGGTCTAAATCTGTAGATGTCTTTCTTAGGGCTAAGAAGAAGGTGAAGCATGTGAGAAAGGAAAAAACCTCAGATGATTCTTAGGGTTACAGTGAGTGGGAACAAGAGGATGCACAAATTATGACATGGTTGTGGAATAGCATGGAACCTAAGATTAGTGTGAATTTTATGTTCTTATATACAACCAAGGAGATTTGGGACCATGCAAAGAAGCTTTACTCCAGACAAGATAACACTACCAGAGTATATCAGCTTTACCAAGAGTACTTTAATCTGCGACAAGGTAATTAGAGTCTTGAGGAGTATTATGCTAGCATGAGGAATCTTCGGAATGAGTTGAATGTTTATCATCCCCTTACATCTGATGTCAAAATTCAGCAACAATAGAGAGAGCAACTTCATGTAACCAGATTTTAGTAGGGTTGAAGGCTTAATATGAACTAGTGAGAGCACAACTACTAGGTGGATCTGCCCTTCCCTCTTTAGAGGAAGTGTTTGATCGTCTTTGGAGGATTTCTGTTGGACTTCCAAAGCACTCTATCGTGTTTGATAGGTCTACTTTTGCAGTAACTAGAGGTGGAGGTCGTGGTGGTAGAGGAGGAGCTCGGAGAATTTAGTTAGGTTGTGGTGGTAGTAGTGGTCCCATGTTCAATCGTGCTGGTGGGTGTATTGTAGGTCGAGATCCAGGGGGAGAACATGGTAATGGTGTGAGGAAATGTACACACTATGGAATGGAGGGATATACTACTAATTTTTGTTATGATCTACATGGGCACCCTCCTCCTGGGCCAATCATGCGATCGTTAGTGGTGGTGGTACGAGAGACGAAATTCATCAAGTTGACCAGACACTTTCTACATCTATAGATGTCTCTTGGAAAGAGATGATGAATGTTTCACGTGATGAGTATGAGCGGTTCCTTCAGGCTACATCTCAATAGAATACAACTACCCTTGCCCACTTAGGTATGGCTTGTTTGGCATGCAAACATTCCCAATACCACAGATAGAAGATGTTCCTTAGTACTATAGACATCAGTTAAGGGAGATAGTAACCATAGCAATGGAAATTAATATGTTGTGTACATGGGTTAGGAGAACCGCAAATGGAATGGTTGATTCTCTAGCTAAATAGGAGTTCAAAGGCAACAACTTTTTTGGGCTTTATTGTAAAAATTCTCTATTGAAATGTCTTTGTTTTATCTATTGTAATTGTTTTATTTCTCTTATTTGAATAAAATTCTCATTTTTGTTGATAAAAAAAAAAGATCTCAAGATGGAGATGAAGATTGGTGAAGGGCATGAAGCTTGGTGGATTGTATTACTTTGACGGTGGTGGTTCATCAACAACTCTTTAGTTGTCTCTTTCTCCTCTCTAGTGGCATTATAGGCTTGGTTGTCCGTCCCTTATGGCACTTAAGTTACTTGTTTTGTCGTTGAGTTGTCTTTCTACTTTGGAATGTGAGTCATGTCAGTATGGGAAACACCATCATGTTCCTTTTAGTTCTTTGGTCCATTCAGACATTTGGGGTCCAAATAAAAGTGTCATACAATGGTTACAAATATTTTGTAAATTTTGTTGATGATTATTCAAAGATGATATGGCTTTATCTTATGAAAGAAATGAGTGAATTGTTTTCTATTTTCCAAAAGTTTCATGCTGAAATTCACACTTAATTTGGTATGCACATTAAGATTTTTCGTTTTGATAATGGCAAAAAACATTTTTATACACCCTTTCAGCAATATTTGGAACATGACATTATCCATTAAACTTCATGTACTTACACCCCTTAGAAAAATGAGGTGGCTAAAAGAAAGAACCGCCGTCTCTTAGAAACTACTCAGTCCCTTTTGCACCATATGAATTTACCCAAACTTTTATGAGTGATGTTGTTCATACATCTTGCTTCCTCATTAATCGTATGCCCATGTCTATCCTTGAAGTTCATTCTCCCTTCTCCGTTTTGCTTCCCACTTTGTCTCCTTTTCCTCTCATTCCTAGGGTTTTTGGATGTGTGTTTTGTTCATAATCTTGGTCCTGGAATGGACAAATTAGATGCACGAGCTACTAAGTGTGTTTTTCTTGACTATTCTAGAACCAATAAAGGGTATAAGTGTTATAATCCTAGTCCTTGACGTTCTTTTGTTTGTCCCGATGTTAAGTTCTTAGAGTTTGTTCCATTCTTCTTTGGGTCTGATGTCTCTCCTTCTCCACCTCCACTTTCAGTTCTTGTTGAGGACCCCATTCCTCTTGTTCTAGTTGTGTCCTAGTCACCGCCTCCAGTGCAGCCTCTTGTTGAACGACCACTTCTCTAGCAAGTGTATACGTGTCGACATGTACTGGTTCCTCCAGTTTCTTCACCGTTGATAAATCTGACAGTTGTTTCAACACTAGACTCACCCCTTCTCTCCGACCTTGACCTTCCAATTGCCTTGTGAAGAGGTAAACACAATTGCACTCTTCATTCCATTTCCAATTATGTTTCTATATCGCACCTTTTTGCATCCCTTGATAATATATTTCTCTGCTATCTTTTGTTTTTGTTCCTAAGAATGTCCAGGAAGATCTTACCTCTCTAGGGTGGCGCCAAACAATGGAAGAAGAATACTTTGTTCTAGCTCAATAATCAAACGTGCGATCTCACTACTCTCTCTCCTGGCAAGCATGTTGTAGGTTGTAAGTAGGTATACACTGTCAAGTATTTACTAGATGGTAGTGTAGAGTGGTTGAAGGCTCATTTGGTTAAAAAAGGGTATTCACAATTATATGGCATTGACCACATAGAGAGCTTCTCTCCTATTGCAAAGATTGGCTCAGTCCGTGTTTTGATTTCCCTACCTACTATGTATACGATTGGCCTCTATTCCAGCTCGACATCTAGAATGCCTTTTTACGTGATGATCTTTTTGAGGAGGTTTATATGGAGCGTCTACCAGAGTTTGTTGTTCTGGGGGAGGATGGTAAGGTGTGCAGACTCAAGAAGACTATTTATGGACTTAAATAGTCCATGGTTTGTTAGATTAAATGAAGTGGTGAATGAATTTGGCATGAGACAATTTCAGGTTAATCATTCAGTATTTAGCTATGGTTCGTGTGCCAGGAAGATTTTGTTGGTGGTATATGTAGATGACATCATTATTACTGGCAGTGACAGGTTGGGAATTGATAGGTTGAAGACATTTCTGCATGATCACTTCCAAGCAAAGGACCTTGGTAAGTTAAAATATTTCTTGGGGATAGAGATAGCCAGGCCTAAGCATGGTATTAATCTATGCCAAAGGAAGTATGTCCTTGATTTGTTGGAGAAGACATGTTTGTTGGATGCCAAACCAGCTGAAATACCCAGGGAACTGAATGTCAAGTTGAGTAGTGATGCAGGTGAGGAGTTTGAGGACCCTAGAAGGTACTAGAGGCAGTTAGTGTAGTAAGTCAGTTTATGTAGAATCCTTGGGTTCCACATTGAGATGCAATTTTGAAGATTGTCTGGTACTTGAAGGGAGCTCCAGGTTGTGGCTTGTTATATAAGAGTAGAGGAAGTCTTGAGATAGAGGGCTGCACAGATGCTGATTGGGCTGGTTCTAACCGATTGGAGGTCCATACAGGGTACTATATCTTTCTTTGAGGCAATTTGGTGACATGGAAGAGCAAGGAATAGACCGTAGTAGCAAGAAGCAGTGCGGAGGCTCAATATAGAGCCATGACACACACTACATGTGAGCTAGTTTGGTTGAAGAAATCTCTTACAAGAGATGGGGGTATACAATTGATAACCCCATGAATTGTGACGACCAAGCTGCAGTCTACATTTCATCTAATCCAGTTTTCCATGAGAACAAAGCATATAGAAGTTGATTGTCACTTTGTGAGAGGAAAGGTGCTTAGTGGAGTAATAAGTATTGCAAATGTAAACACAAGAGAAGTCAATGGGCAAAGAAGGGGTTGATTGTCACCAAGGGGTTCAGTTGGGGAAGAGTGGATTACATTTGTATCAAGCTGGGACTATATGATATATATTCACCAGCTTGAGGGGGAGTGTTAGAGTCGGCTATACAGGGGTAGTTTGGTCATTTCATTTTATATTAAGAGTGTGGTGTAATGCCTTTTATGTTCTAAGTACTAAGCCCCATACTTAATTAGGGGCATAAGTGTCTTTGTGTTTTTTAATCAGAAACATATAGATAATACCTAGCCGACTAGAGAAAGGATCCTTCTCTGGTTTGAACCAGTTTTCTCTCCTCCTCCTTCTTCTTCTTCTTCTTCTTCTTCTTCTTCTTCTTCTTCTTCTTCTTCTTCTTCTTCTCTCTCTCTTTCTCTCTCTCTCCTGCTATTATTCTCTGCTATTCTAGGGATGAAACCAGTACAGATCAGTTCTGTAGCAAAAACGTTCAGATTTTTCTTTCTTTTTTCATAGCGGGAATGTGATTATTAAGATGAATAACTGTATGTGGAAAACTATATAACGAACAGAAAGGAACCTGAAGAAAGAAGAGAGATAAAAGGAAATAGAAACAATGGAAAGATTCAGAAAAAATCTTTCCCAGTGGTCTGGATCCCCCCTTCCTCACAATTCAACTCATCCTTAACCCCAACTATATGGGATCATCTACATGAATCCTGTCCCTGTTATTCTGCTCTATCAAGGTCCTCTTAAGAAAGACCATTACCCAATCTTGGTCCCAGATATCAAGCCCCCTTCCATACCAAAAAACTGAAAAGATAAGTGCCTTTGACAAAATAATGACCAATAACCATCCTACTATTTGTTCTCTCACCACATCCTCTAGATGCATCATTTGACATGTCTTTGGGAGGGGGCTGGATGGAAGTCTTGGTGTTTCATTTGTCTAGTGTTGCGGGCATGGTTCTTTGTTTTATTTTCTCTATTGCTGCCCAGGGTGCCTGGTCTTTCTGTGGGAATTAATCATTTCAGGGTTGAACAGTGGGTGCTAGGTATTTTAGGGGATTCCTTTCTTTTCTGCAAAATCTTCTGCTGCCCCCAATACAACTTTCATCTTCCAGCACACTAATCTGCTCACCAAAAGCTTTGAGTGGTTTTCTATCTCTTAAATGTTTAAACTTGGAAAATAACAACTTAACCTTTCTCTTTTATTATTATTTACTATTTTTAGTTAGTGATGAGAAACTTTAGTGAATTCAGCTACTTCTGTTGCTCCTAAAGTTATTAATTGTTTATTCTTAGTATTGTTTTCTGATATTTGCAGGTATTGTGAAGAAAGACCTTCACTTCTAGGTAATGTTGGGATGGGTGCAAGACTGTGCACTTATTATAAAAAATCAGTGTCCGGTGACCAAACTGCCTCCTCATTGCACAGTGGAGACAACAGCCTGGGAAATGTCCTTACTCTTGATCCTACTGATAGATCACCTTTCCTTGGAGATATCACACCTGGTTGTAGCCAGTCTTCTCTTGAAACGAACTTGTATAGAGCACCCTTATTTCCCCACAAATTGGCATCAACTGACTATTTATTAGTTCGTTCTGCAAAGGGAAAACTTTCCCTTAGACGTATTGACAGAATAGATGTTGTCGGACAACAGGTTGGTTAATTTGGTTAGGTTATTTATAAATAGACATTTCTATCACATGAATATACTATTATTTTTGTTTCCTTGATTATTTCTATCATAATCTTGTTTATTTGAGAAAAATAAAAGAAACTAGTACATCAAGTCCTTGTGTCCATGCTTGTTTACTAGGTACACTTTGATATTATGATTTTCTTTCTAAATTTAGATTTAATTAAATATTGTGTGATTTGCTTTCAATTTTAATTGATATTGCTTATATTTTGTAATGAGTTATTTCTGGTTTTCTTATTCTCATTTGAATCTTGAGTTTCCTGAAAACCTCACACTATTTTGGTATGATAATAATCTTAAGGTTGTACATTTTAGACAAACATGGTTTGATGACTTTGATCCTTCACTGTTATGTAAATTGACTAGTTGAGTCATCCAGTTTTATCACCTAAGATTTCATTTTCTGAAAATAAGTCTTGGTATTTAACATATGCTGATTTTATGCATAAACAATGATTAAGATGGCATAACTCATCCTTTAATTTGTTTACATCTTCACAATTTGCTCACATTCTACTCAGGAGCCTCACATGGAAGTAATTTCTCCGGGATCAAAAGGCCTTCAGACATATATTGGGAACAGGCTGTTAGTTTGTATTTACCGTGAATTCCGTGCCAATGAAAATCGTGGCTTGCTTCCTTGCATCCGAGCAGATGAATTGTCTGCACAATTTCCTAACCTGTCAGAACCTTTTCTCCGGAAGAGGTTGAAGCACTGTGCCGATTTGCAGGTAGTCTTGCATTATGATTATTGTTGTGATTTCTTGCTACACCGCCCAACTGAACTCAACCATTTTTCAGGTTTTGCTTGGTTAATGCTGATTCAGTTTAAATTTGGGTCAGGTTTTACTTGGTAATCTCAAAATTGGTTTCAGATTGGTCCAATATGTTTTTAAAACAAAAGAATCTCTATAATTTGCACATTTTCTTGAAGACCCAAACATGTTTTAGGTTAGGTTTGAATTTAGGTCCAGGGTTCCCTTCTACATTCAAAGCTGGCATAATAAATTTCCAATATCTTCTGCAATTTGCTCTACTCGGGTTTGAGTCATTCCATATATTTTTTTGTTCACTTCTGTCTCTGAGTTCTGTTTTAATATCTATTGACCTTTTCATCTCCATTGATCTGGAAATATGGTGGGGGCATGCAACACAACAGAGGAAATCAAATGGACAATTGCTTTGGGTTATGAAACGCAATTTCCGCATTCCTTTGGAGGAAGAAATCAGAAGGATGGTTACTCCAGAAAGTGTAAGTTCTGTTTTATTTTGTTGTCCTTTTGCTTCTTGTTTATGTAGGAGATTTAACTATAACTGTGGGAAGGTCTGATATTATGTTGTGAAGTTGAAATGTATGAAACATTTTTAACATCTTCATAATGCTTAATAAAAGAACAATGGAAAAAGTGCCATGCAACTCTAATGGTTCCAAAAACCCACTATTTTCTTGCACCTCTATTTTAAATGTATAATCCAGTGGATCCAAAATCCCCAAAAGTAGCTTCCCTATACAATTTCTCCCTATCCGCTCTGTGCTTTGTTAGAAAATCTTCCATACTATTTGCTGCCCTCTGAGTCCATTGAATTGAGCTCTCAATTCTAGCATTACATTGCACAACCATCCAGAGTCTCCTTCCACCAACAAATCCCTATAATTTAACAATTGTTTGTATTCTGATTCATGAATGTTGTAAGGTGTTTTTTGTTATGTTTTTTAGGTGCAGGGGTCTTTCTTTAATTTTTCCAATTCTCAGGGACCTCCCTATAATTTTTATCTTTATTAATGCGAAAGAATATTTTGCAAAACCATCAGCCTCTTATTTGCTTGACCATGGGATGATCCATCAGAGTACTTGTCCTCATACACCACAGCAGAATGGGGTTGCTGGGAGAAAGAATACACTTATTGGAGGTGGCCAGAAGCATTATGTTTAACTCCAATGTGCCTATACGTTTCTAGGGAGATGCTATTCTTACAATAGTATATCTCATCAATCGAATTCTTTCACGGATCCTTGACTGTAACCTCCATTTACCCTTCTATATCCTAATAAAGAGTTGTTTACCATTCCCCTCAAAACCTTTGGTGTTACTTGCTTTCTTCAGATTCTTGGCCCTAATCGTTCTAAATTTGATCCTAAGGCCTCAAAATGTATTTTCCTTGGTTATGCACAAACTCAAAAGGGATATTGCTGCTATAAACCCACTTCTGGGAGGAGATTTGTCTCTATGGATGTCACTTTCTTTGAGGATGTACCCTATTATCCTAGGGCTTCTCCTCAAGGGGAGAGTAGTGAGGTTGGGATTAACTCATCAGAAGTTCAATTACCTATCCCATTGAGTGAAGAGGGATGTAATGGGGAGGGTTGTCAGAGGTGCCGGGATTTGGGAGTCTATCACAGACCATAGTTTTCAAGGCACCAATGTGAGGCTAGGCGACTGGGGGGCACCTTGTCGCCTAGTCACCTAGGCGGGCGCCTAGGCGATGGATTTTTTATGTTAAAAACATAGATCCTAGGGTAGTTCCCTAGGTACCATAACCATATTTCTTTAATAATTATTCATGATTTTCATAAGAAAAGTATAAATTTCATATTAAAGTATTGAAAATCAACATATTCATGAGAAGAAAAGGAAGAAGGAATATAAAATTCAAAAAATATAGTGGTTGAACCCTTATTTTTGTTATTGGTAAAAATATAGGAAAAGAAGAAAGTAAAAAGTATTGGTAGTGGTAGTAGTAGTAGTAGAAGAAGAAGAAGAAGAAGAAGAAAAAGAAGAAGTAGAAGAAGAATATATGGAAGAGGAAAATGTGCTGATTAGATAAAATTTTTAAGTTCTTCCTTACTTATTGGTTCAGGTTTTTAAGTCTTTGAGGGTTCAATACAGCATTTAGCAATGTTTGTGTTGATTAAACCCTAATAAATAAGAAAATAATAAAAAGAAATTAGTATATAAACATACAAAATGATTATTTTAGTTTAATAATGTCTATTTTATAATTATAATCTCAAAAAAGAATGAATAAAAAAGTATTTATAGTAGGAAGTAGAAAACTGCTAGGCGATTAGGCGAGGCGAGCCTCAAAGGGCGCCTTGTCGCCTAGGCCTCGCCTTGACAACTATGTCACAGACGGTGGAGGTAGGTTGATTTTGGTCATCAGCAGTCCAGGCCAGCCCCAGTTCCTTCTACGGATCCAGATCCAGGTACCAAAGTTCCTTTATCAGATATTATAGATGAGATACCTTCCATTGTTGACCTCTCACCTTCCATTGTTGAGCCTTCACCTTCATTGGATGACTTTGACCTCCCCATTGTAGTCCGTAAAGGCAAACACTGTTGCACCACATCCACAACTCACTGCATTTCCCAGTTCTTGTCCTACCATCATCTGTCCCCCTCTTACAAGTCCTTTCTTGCACCCATTGCTGATATTCCCATTCCCAGAACAGTGCAGGAAGCCTTGTTAGTTCTTGAGCGGAAGGATGCAATGATGGTAAAAATGGATGCCCTTATCAGAAACCAAACCTGGGAGATAGTTGATCAGCCCAAAGGGAAGAAACCAATTGGATGTAGATGGGTGTTTACTGTGAAACATAATGCTGATGGTTCCATTGAAAGGTATAAGGCCCGATTAGTTGCAAAGGGATTTACTCAAACATATGGTATTGACTAGTTGGAGACTTTTACACTAGTTGCAAAGATGACCACTATCAAAGTCTTGTTATCTCTTGCAGCCAATTACTCTTGGCCCTTGTTCCAGATGGATGTTAAAAATGCCTTTCTCAATGGAGACTTGCAGGAAGAAGTTTACATGCAGTTGCCTCCTAGATTTTATGATACAGAAAGAGGAAAAAAGGTTTGTCGGCTGAATAAAGCATTGTATGGACTAAAACGGTCCCCTAGAGCTTGGTTTGATAGATTCAGACAAGCCCTTGAGAAATTTGGTTATGTGCAGGCCTAGTTAGACCATACCTTGTTCATTAAGTAAGTTGATTCTTCCTTAACCTTGCTTGTTGTATATGTGGATGATATTGTAGTAACAGGGAGTGATAACTATGAGATTGAGTCTCTTAAACAACTCCTTCATCAAGAGTTTGAGGTAAAAGATTTGGGAGATCTACGATACTTTTTGGGTATTGAGGTAGCTAGGTCCAAGCATGGGATTTTTGCTTCTCAAAGAAAGTATGTTCTTGACTTGTTGAAAGAAACTAGAAAGTTGGGTATTAAGCCTGCTGACACACCTACTGAACAGAATCACAAGATAAGTGCAGAGGGTGGAGAGCCTCTTGAAGGTAAAGTTATGTTCCAATGGTTAGTTGGAAAACTTCTCTATCTTTGTCTCACATGACCAGACATCAGCTATGCAGTCAGTGTTGTTAGTCAGTATATGCACTCTCCTAGAACCACTCACCTACTTGCAGTTGAGAGGATATTGGCATATCTGAAGAGGTGCCCAGGTAGAGGTGTTCTATTCAAGAATAATGATCACATGAAGATAGAAGCTTATGCAAATGCTGATTGGGTTGGGTGTGTTGATGATAGAAGATCTACCTCTGGATATTGTGCCTTTGTAGGAGGTAATCTTGTCTCTTGGAGGAGTAAGAAACAAAGTGTTGTTTCTTGTTCTAGTGCTGAAGCTGAATATAGTTCCATGGCAAATGGTGTAGCTGAAATTCTATGGTTTAAATCTCTATTTGAGGAGTTGGGTATTGCTTATGAGAAGCCCTTAATGTTGTACTGTGATAATCAGGCTGTTATTAGTATAGCCCATAATCCAATACAGCACGACAGAAGAACTAAACATATTGAAGTGGACAGACATTTTATCAGAGAAGTATGTCTTCCGTATATCACCTCCGACATGCAGCTTGTAGATCTTATCTCCGAGGCAGTTTCAAGAAAAATGTTAGAGGCAGACCTATGCAAGTTGGGAATGACAAATATCTATTCCCAACTTGAGGGGGAGTGTAGAGAACACTGATGTGGACCCCATTGATGTGGTCCATTGTGTTTGTATGAAAGTAGTAGACAGTTAGTTTTGTTAGTTATTTCAGTTTGTTAGTTGGTAGTTTATTTGAGCCTTATGTTCTTTTTATCAGCCCCTTTTCCACCCTTAGAGCTGCTGGAAACAAGTGCAGACTGCTCACTAGGTTCCTCATCTCCTCATTTCTAATCAGCTAAAACACATGATGCAAATCTGGAAGTTCATCTCTCCCTAAAGTTTGAGCTCTAATGCTTTCATATGAGTGGTCTAAACCAGCTAGAAACTTGAATATTCTTCCTTCTTCAATTTGCTTGTCATGGCTTTCTTTGTCATTGGTGTCGTCCCACTCAAGGATTGAATGGCGATCAAGCTCTTCCCATAAGCCTTCTAGTGTAGCAAAATAGGTTGCAACAGTCATGTCCCCTTGAGTCAAACTAAGGATGTCTTGATTTAGCCTATAAATCCTTGCTATGTTTTTCTTTTGACCATAAGTGTTGTATAGCTTCTCCCAAATCTTGTGGGTTGTTGTATAATGCTGAACAAGCCTCACAATTTTGGGAGTCAGAGAAATCTTCAACCATGATATCACACTTGAATTTTCCCTACACCAGGTCCTATAACTTGGTTCATCTTCCTTAGGCTCCTTAATCTTCCCATCGATGTAGTGTTGTAGTCCATGGCTCACTATGGACCATCTTGCTGAAATGGCCCATTCCCTATAGTTGTATTCATCTAGTTTCACATTAGTAATTTGTACCATAGGGTTTCCAAGATGAATGACATTGTCAACAGTCCTAGAACCTCCAGAAGATACCTCACTCGTGCTGGAAGACATTATGAACTTACTCAAATCTGATATTTAGCAAGTAGAATAGGTCTAACAGCACTTCCCTTTACTCAAACTTCGCTAACAAGCTTGGCTGGACTGTATACTAATCTCCTGGATTGATATTACTGGCAGTCCAGCGGCTAGACCTGCTAAATAGGTCTTTCTAGTAGTCCATTACGACTACTCCATAGTTTCTTGCCCTACCCACATATTAGCAACTATTCTGGGTCTCCTTGGAGTTTTTCCAAGGACAAAACCCTAACAACTTCAGCTAACCACGATCAGCAGTAGAACTCCTACTTGTTAATCCAACTATAAAAGAGAAAACTTAAGAAGAAAGGTGAGGTGAAGAAGAAGATAGGCAAGCAGAATGAGATCGGCTTAAAGCTCTGATACCATGTTTTTATTCTGATTCACGAAGGGATTTAGAATAGGGCGGCAGCACTCTACCCAGCCCTTCAAACTGATATTTATATTAGGGCAACACTAAAAAAACATAAGATTACAACTTTACCCCCCATTGGTAAGAGGTATTGTAACTTAAAATAAAAGGCCCAAGCCCATTAACACTTAATAACAGAAGTATAGCCCAACAAGAAATAGTAAGACATAGCATAAATGGGCCGAGATCCACACTGTTAAGTCCCACAACAACTTTCCCAATTTTAATCCTTGATGTAAAGAAAACTGCTGTGCCCATGAATCTCCTTCACCAATTGGTCCAAAAGCTCGAGACCGCATTGGGACTAAGGCCAGCCACTCAAGTCTGAAGCCCATGAAAGTAGCAATTGAGTCCTCCGACTGTCGAATCTAATGATCTTGAAGCACAAGGATTTTCTAGGCTTATAGCTTCTGGAGCAGAACTATCTTGATGATCCCCCCAATGCTTTTGTATCCCCTGGGAATTTCGGTGAGCACTCTATGTGTGGCTCAGGGAGGAAGATTGGTTATCTATTTCCCCCTACTCTTTTGTTCCCTTTTGACTTGGAGGAGTGGGAGGTCTACACTCATTCAGATTGGTATAGAATAGATAATGCGGATTCTTCTAACCTTGACGGCAACCTTGTGGGCTTGAACTCTCTCTTCTATTAGGACAAAGATCAGAAACTCAGTAACATGAAGGTAAGGGCCCATCCCTATTTGCTCCAGAGAGGTGTGGAGAGTGTTGTTCTTCACACCAGCCCATCCCTCCTTCTATACAATGGTACGGTACTCCTAATCCCCCTCCTGTGGCTGTCGCATTGCTTCTCCCCTTCTTTCAAAGCGTCCTTGTGCCCCCTTGCCCCCATTGTTACAGGTTTTGGTGATGGTTTTGCCCCCTTCTACAATTGGCCTTCCTTTCTTTTGAAGAAAAAAGAGAAAATTCATTAAAAGAAAGAGAGAATACGAAAGGAAAAGTGACAAGAAGTCACCCGAGAGAATACAAAGGGAAGTGACAAGTCTGGAAGCTTGGGCAGATGATTGGGGATGCAAAGTTGGTGAGCTCCCTTGTAAATACCTAGGAATGCCTTTGGGTGAAAATTGTAAATCCAAAGCCATTTGGGAGCCCACCATTGAGAAAGTTGATAGAAAATTGGCTTCTTTGAAGACCAAATATTTGTCAAAAGGGGGTAAAGTCACTTTAATCAAAAGTGTACTGGCTTCCCTCCATGTATACCATCTGCCTTTGCTCCCAATTCTGGTCAGGTGGGCTGCAGTGTTAGAAAAAATGATGAGAGACTTTCTGTGGAGAGGATGGAAGGAAGAATCATAATGCCACTTGGTGAACTGGAAGAAAATATGCAGTTCCAGGACTAATGGGGGTCTAGGGATCAGATCAGTGAAAGATGTTAATGAGCATACGGATAGTTTGTGGAGAAGGTTAATTCTATCCAAGTTTGGTCCAGTACCAGGGAGTGGGAGACAGCAGGAGTAAGATCTTCCTACGGGTGTTCAATTTGGAAGGCACTTTAGAGAATTCATCCTCAGTTCTTAAAGGACATAAAACATGAAGTAGGCAATGGCCATAGGGAAGGGTACTGATGTTGGAATGACCCTCTAGTGGCCTTATATTCTCATCTGTTTGAGGTTGCAGTAAACAAGGATGCGATAGTGGCTGATTGTTTGCAAAGGCAAAATGGACAGTATACTTGGGACCCTCAATTCAGGAGGAATTTAAATGACTGGGAGGTGTCTCCTTTGGTTAGTTTGCTTCAGATTCCTTATGATTCAAAGAAAACTGGAGTATAGAAGGACAAAAGGAAATGACTCTTTGAGAAATCGGGTTCTTTCTCTGTGAAATCCTTCTTTAATTGCTTGTCAAGCGAGGATACCTCTCCCTTTCCAAGTGACAATTGACAGGATCTGGACCAGAGTTGTATCTTCTAAACTGGCTTTTTTTTGTCTAGGCTAAAGTGTTGGACAAGATCCTAACTAAGGAAAATTTAGCCAAAAGAGGTTTAGAGGTGGTGGATATGACTTGCACATTATGTAATGCAGCTGTGGAGTCTTCTAGCCATTTGTTGTTACATTGTGACTTCACTTACTGGATTTGGGTAAGACTGCTGGACTTGTTTGGGGTTAAATTGTGTTTCCCATCTGATGTGAAGGGATTCATAGGGGCTTGGTTTTTAGAAGGCTTAAGCAGGGTTGCAAAGGTAGCGTGGATCATCCTCCCTGTAGAGAACACTGATGTGGTCCCCACTGTGTTTGTATGACAGTAGTAGACAGTTAGTTATGTTAGTTATTTCAGTTTGTAAGTTGGTAGTTTATTTCAGCCTTATGTTATTAGTTTTTTTCATTTATTATTTTTCCATGTAAGCAATAAGGGTAATTCAGCCCTTTTACAGTTACTCGAATATAAATTATAAGAGTGGGGTGACTATTGCTAGTCACTCTCTCTCTCTCTTTTCTGAATTCTCTCTTCGATTTCTTCTTCTCCTCTCCTCTTCTTCTCTTCTCTTCTTCTTCTCTTCAATCTATATTTGTTTTCTCATTAAAACCTAGGACAGATTGTAGTCTTGTTCAACTACTTGCTATTAGAGCCAACCTAGGAGTTCTTATGCTAGTCTAATCAGGCCGACTACATGAGAACTTCCTAGGTTTGGAAGTTTTCAGCAGAAAAAGTGAATCGGCTGATTCTTGGAGGTTACTGGTAGTGTGTGCCTGCTACTAAGGAGATTGTAGAGCCTTGGAGAGTTCCAGTGATCAGGAAGAATCAAAAGAAGGTTCGAATCCTCAAGATTAGGGTTTTGCATCAGTTAGAAGGTGGCGGCCAGAATTTTTTCATGAAGTAAGTCATTTTCCTTCAAATCAATAATAAAAAATATCATCTTTGTTTATTCTGGGAGGTGCAGCTGGAAAATCTCCTCTTTTCACCTGTTTTTTAGGGTTTTAAGAGAAAACCCTAAAATCCAGGTCTGTTTTTGATTCCGGAGTAGTAGTTGGACTTGCTTCATTCAATCTGAGTTTGTTTTTTCTCTCTGGAAGATCCAGTAGAGCTGTTCATTGTTTCTGGATAGTTGTTGAATCTAAGTCATCCTCCTAGGTCAACTGTTATCAGTTTCTGGGTAGATTTCTCCTATTTACAATGATTAAAAAAGTGTTTTTTAATTAACTCTTAACCAAGAATGGAGTTTAAGAACCAAGGGGAAGGTGTTTTTGGGGCTGGTGGTTCTGGTAACATGTCTGAGAACACCTTTCAGATTAAACTATTAAGTTTGATAGATCAAACTACTTAGAATGGGCCCAATCAGCCATGATGGCCATTGGGGGTAGAGGAAAACTGAACTATTTGTTGGGGGATGTGAAAGAACCAACTAAGGAGGACCTAACTTATGCCAAATGGGTTCAGGAGAACTATTTGGTGATGACATGGTTATGTAACTCTATGCAGCTACATATCACCCAAAACTATTTATGGGCAAAAGCAACTAAGGAAATATGGAATGTCATGAAAGAGACCTACTCCCAACCCCTTAATGTTGCTAGGGCTTATGAGCTGAAATGTGAGGTTAATAATCTTAAGCAAGGAGAGAAACAGGTCTCGGTTTACTTCTCAACCTTGAAATCTTTGTGGCATGAAATTGACCACCTAGAAACAATTGAGTGGGAAAGTCAGAAGGATGCACAAACTTGCAAAAAGCAGGTTGAAACTAATAGGGTTTTTCAGTTCTTAGCTGGTCTGAATTCTAAATATGATATTGAGAGACAACAACTACTAACAAGAGACAGTGTGACCATATCACAAGTCTATTCCTTAGTGCGCAGTGAAGAGACTAGGAGAAAGGTTATGTTGCAACACCAGCCCTTCGAGTCAGCCTTGGCAGCAGTATGTGACAAGAGGGACCTAGTATGTGAACATTGCAAGAAACCTAAACATACTAAAGACACTTGTTGAAATCTGCATCCTCATCTAGTTCCAACAAAACTCAAGAACAAAAAGGGTTATGCTAACATGGTTGTTAATACTGATTGTGTAACCTAATCAGGCACAAGAGGCACACCACTAGACTCCCTAGTTGTTGCCCGGGCTGCTCTAACTCAGTTGGAAAGTGAAGTTGGTAATTCAGCTCCATCACCTTAGACGCCATCAACTCTTTCCACCTCAACCCTTGCTCATTTAGGTACTCAGGCCTAAGCTTATCGTTCTTCAGCTCCAAGTAACACTGAACATTGTTGGGTAATAGACTCAGGTGCATCTAATCATATGACTGGTTTGCCCTCACTATTTACTACCTACCACTTATCTTCTAGCAGAGACAAAGTGTCCATTGTTGATGGTTTCCTTGTTCCCATTTCTGGTAAGGGATACATCAAGTTGTCTAATGTCATTTCCTTGTCTCCAGTTTTGCATGTTCCTAAGCTTAGTACTAATTTGCTTTTATTTAGTAGCATTACTAAAAATCAGAATTGTTTAGTGACTTTTTTCCTTGATCGATGTGTTTTTTCAGGATTTTGAGACAATGAAGGTGATTGGGACTAGTCGTGAGACGAATGGAATCTATTTGTTTGGAGGGAGCTCTCATGGGGAAGATAGTGAAGCTAGGAGGTCTTTTATTTCTCAATCTGTTGATCAGGTTATGCTTTGGCATAATCAGTTGGGTCATTTATCTTTTTGGTCTTTGAAGAGTTTGTTTCCTAATTTGTTTGAGTTTGTCCAGATATCCAGTTTAAGATGTGAAAGTTGTGAGCTTGCAAAGCATTGTAGAACAACCTATTCATTGAGTAATAAAAGAAGTAATATTCCTTTTGAAATTGTGCATACCGATGTTTGGGGACCTTATCATATCACTGCTATGGGGGGGTACAGATATTTCTTGCTGTTTGTTGATGATTATACCTGTTTTTCTTGGGTTTACCTTATGCGTTCTCGAGATGAGGTTCCAGCATTGACCCGGATCTTTCATAAGATGATTTTAACGCAATTTAGGGTCAAAATCAAAATTTTTAGATCCGACAATGCGAAAGAATATTTTGCAAAACCATTAGCCTCTTATTTGTTTGATCATGGGATTATCCATTAGAGTACTTGTTCTCATACACCACAACAGAATGGGGTTGTTGAGAGAGAATAAACACACATTGGAGGTGGCCAGAAGCATTATGTTTAACTCCAATGTGCCTATACGTTTCTAGGGAGATGTTATTCTTACAGCAGTATATCTCATCAATCGAATTCTTTCACGGATTCTTGACATGTAACCTCCATTTACCCTTCTATATCTTAATAAAGAGTTGTTTACCATTCCCCTCAAAACCTTTGGTGTTACTTGCTTTCTTCAGATTCTTGGCCCTCATTGTTCCAAATTTCATCCTAAGGCCACAAAATGTATTTTTCTTGGTTATGCACAAACTCAAAAGGGATATTGCTACTATGAACCCACTTCTAGGAGGAGATTTGTCTCTATGGATGTCACTTTCTTTGAGGATGTACCCTATTATCCTTGGATTTCTCTTCAGGGGGAGAGTAGTGAGGTTGGGATTAACTCATCAGAAGTTCCTTTACCTATCCCATTGAGTGAAGAGGGATGTAATGGGGAGGGTTGTCAGAGGTGCTGGGATTTGAGAGTCTATCACAGACGGTGGAGGCAGGTTGAGTTTGGTCATTAGTAGTCCAGGCTAGCCCCAATTCCTTTTGCGGATCCAGATCCAGGTACCACAGTTCCTTTATCAGATATTATAGATGAGATGCCTTTCATTGTTGAGCCCTCACCTTCATTGGATGACCTTAACCTCCCCATTGTAGTCCGTAAAGGCAAACACCATTGCACCACATCCACAACCCACTGCATTTCCCAGTTCTTGTCCTATGATCATCTATCCCCCTCTTACAAGTCCTTTCTTGCATCAATTGCTGATATTCTCATTCCCAGAATAGTGTAGGAAGCCTTGTCAGTTCCTGAGTGGAAGGATGCAATGAAGGTAGAAATGGATACCCTTATCAGAAACAATACCTGGGAGATAGTTGATCAGCCCAAAGGGAAGAAACCGGTTGGATGTAGATGGGTGTTTACTGTGAAACATAATGTTGATGATTCCATTGAAAGGTATAAGGCCCGATTAGTTGCAAAGGGATTTACTCAGACATATGGTATTGACTACTTGGAGACTTTTGCACCAATAGCAAAGATGACCACTATCAGAGTTTTATTATCTCTTGCAGCCAGTTACTCTTGGGCTTTGTTTCAGATGGATGTTAAAAATGCCTTCCTCAATGGAGACTTGCAGGAAGAGGTTTACATGTAGTTGCCTCCTGGATTTTATGGTGCAGAAATAGGAAAGAAGGTTTGCCGGCTGAACAATGCCTTGTATGGACTAAAACAGTCCCCCAGAGCTTGGTTTGATAGATTCAGACAAGCCCTTGAAAAGTTTCGTTATGTGCAGGCCCAATCAGACCACACCTTGTTTATTAAGAAAGTGGATTCTTCCTTAACCTTGTTTGTTGTATATGTGGATGATATTGTAGTGATAGGGAGTGATAACAGTGAGATTGAGTCTCTTAAGCAACTCCATCAAGAGTTTGTGGTAAAAGGTCTGGGAGAGCTACGATACTTCTTGGGTATTGAGGTAGCTAGGTCCAAGCATGGGATTTTTGTTTCTCAAAGAATGTATGTTCTTGACTTGTTGGAAGAAAATAGAAAGTTGGTTGTTAAGCCTGTTGACACACCTATTGAACAGAACCACAAGATCAGTGCAGAGGGTGGAGAGCCTCTTGAAGATAAAGCTATGTTCCAATGGTTAGTTGGAAAACTTCTCTATCTTTGTTTCACACGACCGGACATCGGTTATGTAGTTAGTGTTGTTAGTCAGTATATGCACTCTCCTAGAACTACTCACTTACTTGTAGTTGGGAGGATATTGGCATATTTGAAGAGGTGCCCAGGCAGAGGTGTTTTATTCAGGAATAATGATCACATGAAGATAGAAGTTTACACAGATGCTGATTGGGCAGGGTGTGTTGATGATAGAAGATCTACCTCTGAATATTGTGCTTTTGTAGGAGGTAGTCTTGTCTCTTGGAAGAGTAAGAAACAAAATGTTGTTTCTCGTTCCAGTGCTGAAGCTGAATATAGGTCCATGGCAAATGGTGTGGCTGAAATTCTATGGTTGAGATCACTATTTGAGGAGTTTGGTATTGCTTATGAGAAGCCTTTAATGTTGTACTATAATAATCAAGTTGCTATTAATATAGCCCATAATCCGGTACAACATGACAGAACTAAGCATATTGAAGTGGACCGACATTTTATCCGAGAAAGGGTTGCATCTCAAGAAGTATGTCTTCCGTATGTCACTTCCAACATGTAGCTTGCAGATCTTCTCACCAAGGCTGTTTCAAGGAAGAAGTTAGAGGCAGACCTATGCAAGTTGGGAATGATAAATATCTATTCCCAACTTGAGGGGGAGGGTAGAGAACACTGATGTGGACCCCATTGATGTGGTCCCCATTGTGTTCGCATGACAGTAGTAGACAGTTAGTTTTGTTAGTTATTTCAGTTTGTTAGTTGGTAGTTTATTTCAGCCTTATTTTATCAGTTTTTTTCTTTATTATTTTGCCATGTAAGCAATAAGGGTAATTCAGCCCTTTTACAGTTATTCGAATATGAATATAAATTATAAGAGTGGGGCCGCTATTGCTAGTCACTCTCTCTCTCTTTTCTGAATTCTCTCTTTGAGTTCATCTTCTCCTCTCCTCTTCTTCTCCTCTTCTTCTTCTCTTCAATCTTTATTTGCTTTCTCATTAAAACCTAGGACAGATTGTAGTCTTGTTCGACTACTCTCCCCTCAGTAGTTTTCTGGGCAGTGTGGAGTGAAAGAAATAGTAGAATTTTCAAGGGACACAGTCTTCACAAGAAGAGGTTCTTAACAGGATCTTGAGGATGGCACACTCTTGTTGGAAAATCACCCACTATACAAAAACAGACATGCTTGTTCTTTTTTTTTATCTTGATTTTCTTTTTGTTAGAAGTTTATAGTTTTCTCTTTTGTTTTGGGGGTGTAGAGGCCGAGTTCATCCAAAGATAGTGTTGACTAATATGTGGCTGCATTGAATTCACAAGCCACCCAATCACTGTGTAGTTCTCTTGCATCCCCCTCTCATAAAATGGATCGTCTTCTGGGGGAGCTTTCTTGCTCCCAGAAACAAACCCCCATAGGGTGTTAACTACTGCACACAGAGTGTTTGTTAAAAGGCCTCTTAAGGACTGTGGACTGTTATTTCTTCTCTTTGGGACAACGGTTGTTGGGGACCTGGAATACTTTGTGTTTGGAGGTCTGCTGGTTGCCCCTTGAAGGCTGAAATAGTATTTCTTCTTCTAGAAAGAGCTGCCACCGAGTTTGGCTGTCACGGTTGTCAAGACTGAACTGATTTTGTGAGCTATGTGGTGTTGCCGATTCATCTCAAACCAAGTTCATCAAGAATCCCTGCACTTTGAGAAACTTATTAAAACCCTAATTGGAACCTTTTCATGATGGACTTCTCAGACCTTGAAAGCAAGAGTGTTGCTGAATATGGACAGACTTTGGGAACCCCAGCCGATTCTATGTTGGCTGTAACTACAGTTAAATTTGATGGGACCAACTACTTGGCWTGGTCACAATCAGTGAAAATCCTTATTTGTAGCAGAGGAAAACATAAACATAACATAGAATGACAGCCTATGGGCCATTCGGCCCATCTCCTCTACAGGGGGGTTTGACTGATTGGGCATATGGTACTTCCTCTATACAATCCCCTCTTTGTACAGGGGCTCTATTATATTTTGACTTTTTGATTTTAATGAATTACTTCACTTTACAGTTCAAAAAAAAAAAGAACTATCTGTGATGGATAGCAAGGAGGCAAGTGGACAGCTTGATTAGGAAGAAATGGAGAGAAGAAATAAGGTGCAGGTTGATTGGGAAAGTGTGGTGCATATTGAAGCAATGTATTGGAGACAGAGATTAGGGAGGTTGATGAAAATACTTATTTCCTTTCATAAGTTAGGTAGCGGGAGGGGAAGGAGAAACCACATCTCTAAACTGAAAACAGGAAATTGAGAAATTATTAATCAGGAATAGACTAAATAGGAGATTGTTGGTTATTTTGAAGAATTCTACTGTAAGGATTGGGTGTGGTCACCTGGCTTAATTAATTGGGATGGATTCACTCTCTCAAATGAGAATAAATGCTGGCTGGAGAGGGAATTTAGTGAAGTTGAAACTAAAGAAGTAGTATTCTCCATAGATGAAGACAATGCCCTGGGCCCTGATGGTTTCTCCTTTGCCTTTTATCCTGAATGTTTGGAGACCATTAAAGGGGCCTCCTTGAGATGCTTGATGATTTCTACAGGTCAGAAAAGATTGATAAAGGCACAACTTCTACCTTCACTAAGCTCATTAAAAGAAAAGATCCCATGATGTCAAAGACTATTGGTCAATTAGGTGTGGTATGTAAAATTGACTTGGAGAAGGCTTATGATGGGGTGGATTGGAATTGCCTTTGGAGGATCTTAGAGTTGAAGGGTTTCAGAGAGACTTGGATTAGGTGGATGAAGGGGTGCACTCAAACGGCTTGGTTCTTCATCCTTCATAAATA